TCTGGCCCGTGTCCTACAGCCAACCCAAGTCTCGTGAGCTAAAATAAGTGGGCTTTTTGTGCTGCGGACTACTGTTAATATCGTTTTAAGGGCCCATTATACTGAGCCTTTTCTTTTCCCCGCTTTTTCAGTTTCTTTTACCAGCCCACATCCAACATGCTGTGCAGTGCCTGAAATCATGCTCAGAGAGTCAGAGGAGAGAATGAATAAATACTGAGAAAGACAGAAGAAAAAGAAGAGGAGGTCGCTTCGACGGAAAAGGGTTGCCCCGCCGGAAAAATGGTAGACAAGCATTCCCCCATATTCATTATTGTTCTTCTTTGATTTTGGTATTTGCACATTTCATTGTTGTTCTTGATCATATCAGTCGTTACTTGTTGCTTTCTTGGTGCTTTTCTTCTGTTTTGATAAGCTAACCTACATTTTGAATTTTTATAAAGAACATGTATACTAATGGAAAATCCAAAATCAAGACACGGTTTTTTGTCTTTAATTTTACCTTCCCATATTACCCCTATTTACAGTTAGGGATGTGCTTGCAAGTTGCATCTTTCCTTTCCCTTTTCTAGGCTAAATTTTGTTTTTTTATACTCAAATTGCATAAATTAAATTATTAAATAGTGTTACTTCTTTTTCATTTGATAGTTCTAATTTTATAATCTAAAGATGAAACATGAAACTCATTTTTTATATTAAAAAATATGCTAAAATCCCAAACAAAGACTTCTCATAATTATCTCGAGTGGAAATGTGAAATTTTATTTGTAGGGTATGAAACCACTTTTGCATCATTCAAAAAAAAAAAAAAAAACACTACTTTTGCACATTTACAAACCACTCTTGCCCAAAAGTGGGAATATTATCATACTAGACTTCTTTGTTGAACGAGTCTCCTATAAAACTCATTCTTTCACTTTAATATATTATCTTGTATAGTATTCCTTGGATTCGCTAAGTTAAAACAATAATAAGTTGCTATAACCAATCACTTGTTTGTTCAAGTGAAAAAAACTTGATTTTTCTTAAATAAAATTTCGAGTTCGAGTCTTATGAATGAAAAAACATGTGTTGAGAGAGCTTATCTTTAATGGGATCTGATGTAACTTAATTTCGAATTAATTGAAACTCAATATGATTACCAGATACCGATAAGTTAATACCAAAAAAAATAATAAGTTGCTATATATGGGAGGGCACTACATAAGGTGGTATATGAAGTAATAAAATTCTATTAAGTTTAAGGCTTTTTCTTTCAACAACAGGGAATTTAGAGATGGGGAAAAAAATTACGAACAACTAATTTACATATGGATGGTTCTACTACCTTAATTGGGGCACTCATTAACGTCCTCCTTTTAAGAATTAAGACAAAGCAATTTTAAGAGCTTATCTTCAAAATATGAGGGCATTTTGGTCCAAACATATCGATGTACAATTGGTGAGTGGAATGTATTACTCCCTTTGCTTTTATTTATCTATTCACTTCGATTTTTGTGCATATAACTGGACAATACTTTAATATAGCATATAATTGGCAATTGAATTTTTTTATTGTCAAAAGAAACCACTGGATAAGTACTATTATTGAAAAAATGGTAATTTTTTTATTATTATTCATATAAATTATGTAAAAATATCACTTAAAATTACATATAAAGTTAGTTTTAAGAACATATAAACGAGAACAAAGGGTATCTAAATGTAAAAGAATCCTTTAAAAGCTCTTCATGTATATTTCCTTTCTTGGTTTCCCCTAATTACATACGATGCATCCTGGGTTCTTCGACAAAAGTCTTGGTCTCTCGAACCTGACTTGTAGTATCAAATGGCCTTCGTCATTTTTGTAAAGTTCACCTCTCCTCTCTTTCAGGTAACAGTTCAATCCGATTTCATGATAAAAATGTTTAAAAAAAAAAAAATCTTAATCTTTCATTTAACCTTCTCATATTGGTCCGGTTCCATGATAAAAATGTTTAAAAAAAAAAAAAAAGTCTTTGTCTTTCATTTAACCTTCCCATATTGGTCCTTTTTTTTGGTTAAAAAATATGCTAGAATTACAAACAAAGACCTATAAGAATTCTCCTGAGTGGAATTTCTTTTACCTGTAGTTAAATAAATAATTTCATTTCAAGTTTTGTTTATTCCCTTGATATGATGAGCATCAAACCACTTTTTCGCTTTTACAAACCACTCTTGCTCTGAAAGTGTGAACGCTAGGCTTCGTTTTTCTGTTTTTCTATTAACCAAGAAGACCTTGACTCAATGCTTTTTAATATTGAGCTAGCTAGAAATATGTTTTTCTGATGAAAATTGAGTTGTACAACTGAATTGAAGGCCAAGGTTTCTCCTTGATGCTTTGTATGACCAAAATACAAATGCATAATGGTGCTATAACTCTTTGTTTCCATGGCGTTGCTTTGTTCACCTTATTTGTTCTTAATACTACAGGCGCGCCAAGTGGAAGCAATTTAGCCTGCAGTGGAGACACGAAGCCGCACATCGGAGGCAAGACAGTGATCGGATGCTACCAACCTGATATTGGCCGTCTATCTCCTCCTCCATCTCGTCCATCTCTTCCTCCTTTTCCTCCATCCTTTTCCCCATCTCCTTCTACAAATCGTGCAGCCCCACCAACCTTTCTGTTTGCTCCACCTGAACCACCTAATCCCTCTCCTCCAAAGGGAAGAAAGTATTCGAAAAGAAAGAATCCGAAGAGATTACTAGTCAAGATTATTATTGCAATATTTGCTGTGACGCTTGGCTTTGGTTTCATTCTGTTCCTTTTTTGGTGGAAGCGGAAATCAAATAAACAAGATGTTCTTGCCTTTGATGTGTCCGTTGCTGATGAATTTGGGAATGGCTTGGGACCTAGGGAGTTCTCTTTTGATGAATTGTCTAAAGCAACAAAGAATTTTGCAGATGAAGAGAAGCTTGGCGAGGGAGGGTTTGGAGCGGTTTATAAAGGTTTCTTGAGAGATTCCAATACAAATGTAGCGGTTAAAAGGGTTTCAAGGAGGTCAAAACAAGGGATTAAGGAGTATGTGTCAGAAGTAAAGATTATTAGTCGATTGAGGCATAAGAATTTGGTAAAGCTTATTGGATGGTGCCATGAAAGGGAACTCTTACTTGCTTATGAGTTCATGCCTAGCGGTAGCCTTGATTTTCATCTCTTCCAAGGGAGGAGCTTGATACCATGGAAGATTAGATACAAAATCGTGCAGGGCTTAGCATCAGCATTGTTGTATCTGCATGAAGAAGGAGATTTATGTGTATTGCATAGGGATATAAAAGCAAGTAACATTATGTTAGATTCAGATTTTAATGCTAAGCTTGGGGATTTTGGATTAGCCAGGCTAGTTGACCATGAAAAAGGGTCGCAAACAACTTTATTGGCTGGAACCTTGGGATATATAGCTCCAGAGTGTCATAGAACAGGTAAGGCAAGTAAGGATTCAGATGTCTATAGCTTTGGAATTGTGGTACTTGAAATTGCCTGTGGTAGAAGGTCAATAGAGCCCATATATGATGAGCATCAGGCATCACTGGTGGCTTGGGTTTGGGAAGCATATGAGAATCAAATGCTTCTTGATGTAGCTGATGAGAAACTCTGTAAAGACTTTAACGTGAAAGAGATGGAGTATTTATTACTCGTTGGATTATGGTGTTCACATCCTTCTCGTAGTATGAGACCGTCAATTAGGCAAGCAATCCAAGTGCTTAATTTTGAGGCAGCACCTCCAAATCTATCTAGTAATATGCCGGTTCCAGATTATGATGATATCCCTAGTACTTCCATCATTAGAATGAGTGAACCTGGTTCACTCAGCATTACTATCCCTCGCTAATTGTTGTGTCTTAATTGCTACAAGTTAATTTTGATAATAATTAAAAATGTGTGTTTCTGTAAGATGAATGAATTCTTGGCATTCCAATTTGAATTTACTTCTAACTTTTTATTCGGACAATTAATTCCTCACTGTTTACCACAAGTCTAGGTGTTTGTGTTGTTTTCTAGTTGGGTAAGTGCGGTTAATTACTTATAATTTGATTATGCAATTTTTGCTGAATGTTAATTTTAAAGACAAATGTGGCTGAGTGACAGCAATTGAAGTTGCTTCCAGAGCCTTTTTTTTTATTATTATTATTATTAACTTCCCAGTATCTGATTACCACATTAAATTTTGACTAATTTGGAGTTAAACAGCATCAAACCTCATTGGGGGAGAAGCTTTCCCAGCACATATTTTCACGAGACTCGAACTCGAGATCTTGCTTAAAGAGAATCAAACTTTTTCCACTCAGAACAACAGGTCGTTAGTCTTTCAAAGATTTTATTTACTAAACTTTTGTATATTCGAAAATTACATTAAATTTTAATTAATTCAAAATCGAGTTAAATTAAATCATGTAAAAGAAAAACTCTCTTAATACATCTCTCTATATTTATAAAATTTAAACTAAAAACCTTACTTCCAATTCATTTTACTTGAAATAACAGAGGAAGCTCATAATTAATTTAAGAAACAGAGTAATTTAATTTTTTTGACACAATTTTTCATGCATACGCACAGGCCACGCGTTTTGCCCTTTGTTTATTCTTTTAGAGTGATAATCAATATTCAGACATTGGCTTTATCTATTCAAGGCTCTGTTGGAGCATCCTTTGGATATGCTGCCCTTTTCCATGTCAAATTCCCATCTGCCTTCGTGTGTGTTATGAGAAAAATAGATAATTTTTTCTGCATCCGGTTTTCCTCCTAGCGACCGACATGTAACAATTAGTCCCCCAGAACCATTGTTCTCTCCTTAAGGCTCGCCATCTTATCCCATGACAGATCTTGAATCAACATCCACAACTTTTGCTGTTTTTCTAGATATGAGCAAAGACCAACAAAATCTTGTCATCCTATTCTACCAAATATTCAGTGAAATTCTTTGACAACATAGTAGGAATAGTCCTTTTCGATCAGTTATCAATTTTAATTACTAAACCAAATAAGGTCTATATTTATTACTCATTCTAAGCACTTGTAAGATTTTATAAACCCACACCAGCACCTATTAAACTTTATTAATGCACAGCAACACCCCTTGCAGAAGTTAATGGGCACATTACTAGGTCCTAGAACAAATTTGGGTGTAAATTGTGAGTAAAAATTTAAGGAACTGATTCATACACCCACTGGATCAATACTTAGTGAGTTATCCTCCTTTAAAAAATATATTTATAACCTAATTAAGAATAAGAGTTGTATAGCTTAACCTTGTAGCCATGCACCTAGCCATACTTTATTTTTTATTCCAAACATATACAATAACTCAATCCCTTCTACCTTCTTTGATTCTTCACTATTTCCTTGTCTTCTCTAGCACCGTCACCGGCATGACACTGGCACCAACACGACACCGGCATCGTCACTACTGTTGGCCACTATTTTTCCTTGCTTCTTCTTCCTTTCTTTTGCTTCCTCCCTTCTCCTTCCTTTCTTTCTCTTCCTCCATTCTCATTCTTTCTCATTCTTTCTCTTCCTACCAGTCCATCTATTCCCCTTGCTTCTCCATAGCAAAGAATCTAGAAAAATCTAGGTACTCATTACCCACTAGTAACCATTGACTTCATCCCATTTGGATCTAGTTTTTTTTTTTCTTTTATCAAATTTGAAAATTTTCAATTTTTTTTTTTCTCCGACCAACACCTAGATCTAAACTCTTGGATACCAGAAACACCAGACTACCTAATCCCTCTCCCTTCCATGAAAACCTCCTTATTTTCTTATCACTATAGCCCCCTTCCTCTGAAGCAGCACCGAAACCAACACCATCATTTCAATTTCTTCCCCGCAAAGATCCACATTGCTAGAATGTTGAGGTAAAGGGATTTGAGATTCACTAACCCAGAAAGACGAGGGATTTATTATGGGCCAAAGCCCCTATTTGCACCCTCCATTTATTTTTTTTCCGCGGTCAACACCTTTCAGAATTTTTCCTCCCTATTCACACCCTTCACTTTTTAAAACCCATGAAAAACCCAATATTTTAACGGGCCGTCACGGTCCCATTAAAAAATATATTACGTGGCACCCAAAAATTGACGTGGCACTATGTAACGTTAGTAATCCAACGTGGACGCCACGTATACAGTAAAAATAATAAAAAATTATAATATTATCATACATAAATAGCATTTTTTTTCTTTTTTTTTCTTTCCCCCCTCATCCTCGACATCATCTTCACCGCCGTCCATCTTCACCGCCCCCCATCTTCACCATCCTCTTCTTTCTCCATCTTCACCGAACTGGGTTCCTGCGTGGAACCCAGTTCTGGGTTCCTTGCGGGGACCCAGATCTGGGTTCCTTGCGGGGACCCAGATCTGGGTTCCTCGCGTGGAACCCTGTGCGGGAACCAGTTTATATATATATATATTTTAAATGTATTTATCTTAACTTTCAATTTTATGCAAAATAATTTGGAATAATTTTTTTTTGTTGAAAAAGTGAGTTTTTTTGCTGGGAGATTGTTTCTGAATAGGTTTCCAATTTTCGTTTTTTGTGGGAAAAGAGTAAAAGATGCTTATTATGTTTTTGTGCAGTATTCATTTATTTATTAGTGTGTGGATGAAAATCTTAGCTTGCATTCATGTGAAATTAGGTTCTACGAAGAACTCAGAACCTGGGTTTTGCGAGGAACCTAGGGGATGAGGATGAGGATGGTGAAGATGATGCCGGGAAAGAAGAAAATGAAGAAATTAAAATTAATGATGATTTAATTATAACACATTATAAAAAAAAGTTCTGGGTACTTGGTTCCGTGAGGAACCCAGGAAGATGAAGAGGAAGATGGTAAAGATGATGCGGGAAAGAAGAAAATGAAAAAATTAAAATTTTATTATGCCATATCATCAAAAAAAAAAGTCCACATTGGATTATGTTACTGTTTAATGTCACGTATTACAATTTTTAACGGTTATTAACAGAACCGTGACGGCCCGTTAAAATATTGGGTTTTTCACGAGTTTTGAAAAGTGGAGGGTGTAAATAGGGAGGAAAAATTTTAAAAGGTGTTGACCGCGAAAAAAAAATAAATGGAGGGTGCAAATAGGGGCTTTGGCCATTTATTATGCAATTGAAAATAGGAGAAGTAGCCTTGAATTTTATGGGTTTCAAATGATTTTTTTTTTCACCTTTCTGCCTGTACTTGCTATGTTCTTCTAAATGATTGGTTGAATCCGTCTTATATTCTGTAGATTGGCAAAATCAAGCTAGATCTTCAACTAAGATTTGAAATTAAAAAAAGAGTCATGGATTTTTCTCATTTTCGTTCTTGTGTTGGAGACGAGATAGATCTAGAAAAGAGAAGGGATTTCTGATTATTTGTTAAGTTTAACCTTTACATTTACGAAGAAAAAGAAAATTGTCTCTTCTGTGCCTAGAAAAAACCCAAATAATTGACTTTAATCTCTTAATTTTAACTTTAATTTCAAAAAATTGGAGAAGATAAATAGTACCTCTCCATTACCTATGCTTGCATAACATGAGGAATGGCAAAGAGAATGAATCGAAGAGAATGACTAGCAAAAGAAGCAAACTTTTTCAGAGGGATGACTGGTTGAGAGAAGCAAAAACGAACTGATTTTGACAAGTATGTCGAACAAGATCGAGTGAAGTGATTAGAATATAGTAAGAAAATTGAGAAGTTCTTTTAAATATTTAATTTGGGTTAAATCTAAAAGGTAAAAGGAAACCTAGTGCCATTGATAAGTTAAAAAAGTGTTATTAGCTAGTCATTTAGATGCAATAAAAAAAGGGGGGAATGGAAAGCAAGGAGGAGAGAGAAAGCATGAGAGAGAAGGCAAGCATTTGCTGCCTTTGAGAAAACAAGTCTTCAGATTATTCAGAATAAGTTAGGATACGTATATATCAAAATAAAATATTATTTTTTCCTTTTAAAACGCTGGTGTGATAAGCCGGGTGTGTTGATTCATGGTGTGCATGAATCATTTCTTAAAAATTTAATATTATTTCTATTCAATTTTAGTTGTCTTAATTAAACATTTTTTAAATGAAAATTTAATATGGTATATAAATAACATTTTAATTTTTTTTTTATAAAAAATAGAGATTTATAATAAGATAAAAAAGATTACAACTGAATCTCCATCACAAGGCATTATAGCCTAACTAAAAATAGAAGCCTAACTAAAAATAGAAGCATAACCTACAGTATTAGTAAAATATTTAAACTATACCCATAATAGATATAGACAATTAAGTAAATAAAGTCATCTATAACTAAAGATTGCAACTAGAGTAGTTGTATGGGCATAAATAGAGCTACTAGAATAGAAAGGAAAGTCGTTATAAGTATCAGAAACTATTGGACATCCTCACTTATTTAGACAATTTAATGGGGACATCCTCACCTATATTAAAATTTAATATAGTATATAAATAACATTTTAATTTTTAGTATTAAATTTA